CACACACTACACACACTGCCCCATACACACATTGCCCCACAAACACTGCCCCCCCATACACACTACATCCCACTATATCCCACACACTATCACCCCCTCCCTCACCAGATCACCCCTTCCACACACACAAACTGTCACCACCTCACACACACAGTATCATCCCCTTCACACACAGTCACTCTCCCTTATACACGCTGTCACCCCTACAATGTGGTGTCACCATACTCATACACTGTCACATTCCCACACATTGTCACCCGTCCTCACACTCTCACCCCCTCCACACTTTCAGCCCTTTCATGCATCCACACTCTCACTAACCACTCCTAGTCCTGTTAATCTTACCCCCTCCATACTCACCTGCCCTCTCTTTGCCACACTCATTAACCCCCTTAATCCTGGCACACTCCTTCCTCAAACCATGCCACATTCACCCTTCACTCCAAAACTGTAATACTCACCCCTCCCCAACTATGCCACACTTACCGTCACTTAAATCTTAAATTTTCATTTTTGTTTTCGAGAACCCCTTCACACCAGTACTTATTTATACACGACTGCCGGGCTATGTGACCATACCCCACAATTGTGTATAAACAATTGGCATAATTGCAAATTAAATTTATTTATTGCAAATTAATTTTGTTTGCAAAATGTGCTACAACTATAGCCAGAGAGCTCACAATGCAGGGGCACAGGAAGCTCTGACATTGCAAGCTTCTGAACCATGAATGCAGAGACTGACTCTCTGTATCCAGTGCTGCAAGCACGCCTCTCGATATAGCAAATGCTCCTTACACTTATACAAAATACAACCCTATTATTTTATACTTTGGGTGTAAGTGGGGCCTCATGCTTGAAGTTCGCCTAAGGCCTCATAAAGTCTAGAGCCGCCTCTGCCTCCTGTCTTCCATGAAACAAATAAGATCTGTATTGTTAAACAAAAAATAATTTCTTACAAATCATTAGCATATTTTCTCTTTATAAATGTGGGTTTTTGACATCTATAAGTCACTTAAAATGCAACATCAACTATGATCTTTATCATGACAAAACAGAGTGGTTTCTGGCCTGGTATAATTGCATGTTGAGTACAATAGATATGTGCCCTTCAGCACCTTACAAAATCAGAATTTTGCAGAATCAGCTTCCTTTAAATGTCTTGTGAACCTTTATTATCATATATCTCTTATTATGAAGAAACATAGAAATAACAAGGTTTTTGAAGCTACTTGGAGCCGTGTGCTTTTTTTCTTTTGTATCAGAATTTTAATATAAGCCACTCACTGAATAACACAATTTCACACTTTTCTAGTCCTTAACTCTTTCTGGACAAATCACAGTCTATGCCAGGGATCGCAAACTCGCTTTTTACCGAATACCAAATCTCTGAGCACAAGCACAATATGAATGGAAGACCAAAGTAGCATTTAAAAATGTGCATGTGTATAGTAAATATTTTTCTTTAAATTCCTTTACTTTGCTTTCCTTTCCTTTCACATCTCATCTCTTGGTCAGTGTGATATTGTTTTCCATGACTCAGATATTTTCACATTTTGTATGTCTCTCTATCTGCCTATTTCTGTTTATCTGTATTTCTCTGCATCTTTCTCTTTTTTTACTCCATTGTCTTTTGGCCTATATGACCCATTTATCACTGTTTATGCCCCTTATTCACAGTATAGCATGTATCTCATTAAGTCCTCTACCAGTTTTATGTCAATGTCTCAGCCCTGCCATTATACCCCCTTCTCTCTCTGCTCACCTTTGTCTGTCCAATAGTCCACCTTCTTTTGTCTCCATTTGCTTGTGTCCACTAATATTGGTTTCTCAGCACTTTCTCAATGTCAGTCTCTGTCTTTTTCTCTTCTCTCTCTCAACCCCCACATGTTTGTCTGTTTTTGAGTCTCTTTGTCTTTCTTCCTGTGTCTCTCTGTCCTCCTTTGTATTTCTTGTCCTGTATGTTCTTACCTGTTTATGCCCCTCTCATCC